GAGCAGTTCCATAAATATCTGAATTCGACTGAATTTTCCAACACAAAACGAAAATATTGAAAATATTGAAAATATTGATGTTGGATGATGCCAAGTGAAAATAAAATACAGAAACTATGCATGAATAGAAATCCAGCATATCTTAGTTCATCAGGAACAACTAAGCCGTACAGTTTGACATCCAATGGTTATTCAAGCAGGCCGCTATACAAGCTTTTAAATTTTTATCTGCTCCCTGTTGCATTATTACTGAGCCCCAGAAAACCTCTCTGAATGATTTCTGTTCCATCTAGGATAGAAGGAAATGAATCATAGGGGAAAAGAATCACCCATTGAACTCTGCACCCAGAGGGAATACCAAAACGCTGTACGGGGCAATTGGAGAAAAAGACAGTTTGAATCTCTTTTGCTGTTGCATCCAACAACTTGTTCTCAAATTCTCTGAAGTATACATAAAGACATTATTAATTACTTGTATGCTGTGCCCATTTTGTACGCATCCAACTACACAAATCTTTGGAATCAAGTTGTAGTAGAAAAAAAAATCCACAACATTCCACATTATGTAGTAAGATAAAATGAACTCGCAAAATACAAAAATCAGAGATAGCATAAAAAACTAATGGAATCTATTGCTCACATTTGTTTATACATTTACAATTTAAGTGTAGAAGAATTAGCTTCAAAATACTTAATTATCATTTCCACATAGTACAACTGTGGCTTATTACATACCATATCCTAGTTTTGCTATCTCAAACTGTCAATTATATAAATGAACTTCTTATTTGCACATATTGGTTTAGTAATTTAAAATGGAAAGCGCTTTCCTTGTCCTTGAAATGAACAATATAAATATTGTATTCAAACTCTAGCTTGAGCTTCATAAATTATTTAAGCTAAAAAAAAAAAAAAAAATTCTCCTCCGCAGGGCAACTTGGCCATTAGGGTGCTCAAATTTCTGCTAAAACATATAAGTAGTATCCTTTTAGCGTAGAAAGAAATAATTGCCAAAAGGTAATTGCTATTAGGATTGTATTTAAGCAGAGGAGGGAAAAATTGAAAGACCAATATTTAAGAGCATCTGTAAAATTGTAAAAAAAAAAAGGGGGGGGGGGTCAAAACCCCAAGGCTATCACACGGGGAATTTCTCTGCTTTTGATCCAGCATTGAAGCTTTCAGTTGCTTTCTACTGGGGGTAAACAGGTCTGTTCAAAATCAAATTTATCCCAATTGGCAAGATCATTGTTACAGCACTAAACTTTTCAATAAGGAATACCTATGACTATTTCTTTTTAAAAAGAGAGGGGGGAATAAAAGGTATTGAATTATTTTATATTTTAATAATGTTTTAAGTTTTCTTTACGTATAATAGATTGTAAATTGTAATTGGTTTCATGAGCTTACATATGATTTTATATTTTGTCAATGACTGGAACCATTAGAAGGAATCAACACAGCAATTCAATAGGCCTTGGTAACAATAAGTGTTGTAAACCCAGTCTCACAAAGATATGTCGGAGGAAAAATATATATTTAAAAGCTCATATTTGGGCTAAACTTTTGTTCAAAAGTCTTCAATGATTACTTTTTAATTCAATGGCTTCAGTGTAACATTTAATGAAAGATCTGAAAATATCTTCCCTTCCACTATGATGAGTGTTCCTTTGATACTGAATAGATCTAAAATCCACAAAAATGTTGGCTTGAATCTTGGAAACAATTCAAGGAACATGTTAATAAGATGTCAAGTTATTCAGAGAATGCTTGTGTTCCATGAAATACAGTTTAAGAAACACTATATTAGATGACATCAAAGAACAGAGTCAAAACCTAATGTTCTCCTATGAAAGTAACCTGGAGTATTCAAGGAAGTCCTGTTTAACAGCCATTGTTTGTACTTCCAACAGACAGGGATTTTTCTCTCCCACTTTTGGAAAGTGGAAAAATAGGTGAAGCAGAGTAACAGAGTTGGAAGGGACCTTGGAGGTCTTCTAGTCCAACCCCTGCCAAGGCAGGAAACTATATACCATTTCAGACAAATGGTTGTCCAATCTCTTCTTAAAAGCCTCCAGTATTTGGAGCATCTGCAACTTCTGGAGGCAAGTCATTCCACTGATTAATTGTTCCAAGTGTCAGAAAATTTCTCCCTAATTCCAGGTTGCTTCTCTCCTGAATTAGTTTCCATCCATTGCTTCTTGTCCTGCCTTCAGGTGCCTTCAGAACAGGTTGATCCCCTCTTCTTTGTGGCAGCGCATGAAATATTGGATACTGCTATCATGTCACCCCTAGTCCTTTTTATTAAACTAGGCATACCCAATTCCTGCAACCGTGTTTTCATGTTTCAGCCTCCAATTCCAAAACTGTTCATGTTAAGTGAACAAATACAGGAAGCAGATTCTAATTTATATTCCAGAGGGAGGACAGCCATACAAACTGGGCTCAACAGATAGGTCATGATTTCTTGTGAACAATTTGGACAGAAGTACTTTTTTATGAATAAATCTATACCTTGCCAACTGACTTTAAAACCTACCTACAACTTCTAAGGCAGGAAATATACAGTACAATTCCCTTCACTTTTAGGGCAAAGTGTGCTAAAGCATGCAAATTTCCTCATCTGTTAGAGATTTTACTATATGACTCTTTATTATATTACTCTTTATTAGTGGTACAATAAATGTAGAACAACCTATACAAAATTTTCAATGTAATGTAAATAAAAAGTAGCATACAAAAGTTATTGAATACAAGAAACCTTCATACATTTATTACCAATATCTTCTGATTTCCTTTTATTTTAGACAATTACACTACGGCTGAAAAATAAAATCTAAATGATTAACTATGAAGGGTATTTTAAAATAAGTAATTCTTTAAAAATGTATGCTAATGTTCCCATTCATGTCATGGCTGCTTAGCATAACCATTAAAAGCCCATTAAGTGAACAAGGAAAATTGATTACAATTAGTCTGGAAAATTTTCACCAAATGAGCATTACAGTCTTAAATGGAAATTCATTTTAAGTACTGTGCAGTTAATGAGATTAACGCTGTCATTAAACTTTGGCTCAAATTGGTAAAATAATTATACTTGAGTTCACAAAGCATGTTAAATTATATCAGCTTAATCACATTTTCAAAATCCAGACTTTTTACTAGAAACAGCAGGCGGTATACCAGTCCAAATCAAATACCCTTCTGTACTATGTAGAGTGAGCAATCTGTGATTCACATAATTGTTTTGGAGAACGACACAGAAGGGGTGCAAGATGACAAAATGACAAAGTAGATTGCGTATCTTTGTTACTTTGTCTTTATGCACATGGTTCTAGTTTTCCTTTCTTTCTTTCTTTTTTATTTTGTATTTCAGCTTTGAAAATAAAATAAAATTTTTATTTTTTAAAAAAGAAGGTTGCATGGTAACTACCAAGTAGTTTCAAGGTTGTTATTCATTCCTGGTGTGTTGGGATTGGTGTGGGGGAAAAAGCAGTGGCACTTGATGCTGTTTTTTGTTAATATTTTCAGTTTGTTAAATATTTTCTGGAATATACATTGCCACAGCAAGCCTTTAACTTTTCACTTTCCTTACCTCTGAATGGGACCATGCCTTCCTTGTCACAGGTGACTACTTAGAAAGTGGCATTTCCTTGCATACTCTAAGGAAGACTGTTGTGAAGAGGTACAAAAAAAGGGATAATATCTAACACTTGACCAGGGCATAGCCATAAATTAGAATTATAATGTAGGGTCATGTTTAATGAAAGCCAAGGAAAATATCAATTTATCATGGTTGTACTCTAATTTTCCCTTGAAAATAGTGTACATAGTGGCTAGAAATTCCTTGATTTATCTTTTTACTGACTGAGAGAACTTCTATGAAAACTGGATTAAGATATCAACTGTGACAGATATCCCACAGGATGGGGGGTTTCAGTGTTTACTGCTCCCTTGACTCTCCTCGGTAGGTATCTCTGTCAACTACCATTTTAGGATTTGAATAGCATCCTTAAATCTCAGTACTTGAAGATTTTATCCACAGTTAGAATTTGTTTGCTGAAAAGAGAGGAACAGACCAAATATTCCAGTTTCTCAATGTCAAGCTTATCCATTTTGATAGTCTTGCAGCAATCTCAACTTGCTATTCAGTCACACAGTTATAATTCTCTAGGTACAGAATTGACAATGTGTGACCTTGTAACACACACACCAATAGGCCTTCTATGCGATAGTCCCTGCCTGAAATTCACAAAACCTCAATAATAAAATGTCCATTAGACCTTTGTTTTCATTTATTTTTCCATGAATAAATATTGGATACTTTGTTTTGTTTTTCCCCCGCCACGTTTTAAATGAATCTACATTTAAAAGAAACATTGCTTTATTACGGAGACAGTATAATGTAGCAATTAAGGTACCGGAGTAAGGAGACCTTGGTTCCACTCCACCCTGAACTTCAAAAGTTTATATCATGTCCTTGGGTCAATTCCCTTCTCTCTGGCCGACCTCATAGGGTTCTTGTGAGGGAGGGAGCTATATTCATATTTCCTTGAGAAAATTTAATGCTTCCTAGAATGCATTCAAAATAGATCTAAAATTACTTCAACTGTACTTGCAGTATATCACTGCAAACATTAAGCCAAAATAACTCATATTACACATATTAACCCTCCCTTTTCTTAAATAAAGTGTAATTTACAAGTTACATCTACATTAGTCCTTGGCAAAAATAAAACTAAAAATAGGAATCAAAAAGTTTAACCAGATTCTAGTCAGGTACACAGATTCTGTAAAGTAAGTATACGTTGTCATAATTTAGACAGAAAAATTCCAGCAATTTTCTACCACAAAATGTACAACCCTTTTCTTAAATAAAGTCCCCAAAACACATAAATTTAATAGTAAACGTGGCTTTCCATTACTTTTGAATGGACTCTTATCTAGCCTTCAAATATCTTGCTGAATCCTACAGTTAAAAAGAATTCAATACTGTATATTACCTATTTTTGAATATTTATTTGCCATCATATCTTCTAATCCAATTGATTTCCAAAAACTATCATCCCAGCCAGTTTCTGAGGAGTATGTCCATTTACATACAAGTGTACACAAAGATCTGTTGAGAAAAAGATACAACTTAATTTAAATTAAAAGGTTTATGAAATAATACAAAATCATGATATTCTGATTATCATAATTGGTAATCTAGACCCAGATACTAAACAGTGATTTCTATAGATCAAGATAGACAAAAAAGAACAAAACCAGTCTCACACAATTATGATTCAAGCTCTGTCCTTTCATAAATGCATGTATCATTATACACATTATTATAACAATTAACACTGTATTCCTAACTGTAAACTTGCCATTATTCCAACAAAGGATTTTTAAATTATTTATAATTATTAAACTAAAATACATCAAGATGTCTGATTCTATTTAGTTAGATTTTTCAATCAATAAAATGTTTCTTGTCCAATACAGCTATTACTTAACCTAACAGAATTAACTGCATTATTACCAGTTATCTGCATCAGGAATTTATATATCTTTAAGCCTTATACAAATATCAGTAGCATTTCATGACTGTTTGGTTCTACATCTTCTTCTTTTTTTTTTACTCACATGAGCATCTAAAGATGTCCCCTTTAAAGGTCTAAAAAATGGGCTCTTGTTAAAAGTCCCACTTTATTCTACAAAAAATATTTCGGAATGTCAGGAGATTCTTGACATCACTATCCTAATTTTTGAATGTCAGATAGCAAATCTCAGGATACTGATTCCTGGTATGGAATGAGAATTGTAATAACCATGCTTCTACTAATAGCTTTTAAATATAAAAGACAAGTAAAATTAATGAGAATTGTAATAGCCATGCTTGTACTAATAGCTTTCAAATATAAAAGACAAGTAAAATTAATATTATACCTTATAAATCTTATAGAAAGGACAGAATGAGGGGACCCTGCATTTCAACCATGAGCTAAAAATGTCCTTCTTTATCAGAAAGGACAGAACACTAAACAGTATTATGGCACCATGGCTAACATAAATTAGCATCAGATTTAGCATATTAAAAACATGAAAACAAGAGGAATAACTATTCTTGTGAATTAAAGATCATACTGTCAGAAAAACTGGAGCATTAGCATACTTAAAGGTCACATAATTTAATTTCAATAATTAATTTTATTGTGTTTCATCTTTACAATGAAGTAAAAAACTGATGGCAGATTATGTTCATAAACTACAGATGATGTTGCCCATTGCCACAACCTAAAATAACTTTAATACTTGTTTTTCTCCAGCTTGGAGCTTCATCATATACATTGTTATTGTTCAAAGAATACTTAGAAATTGGGTGCTTACAGAAGTATCAGCTAGTAGTTTCCACTATCCACTTTAGTTGGTAACAGGTGAAAAAAACTGAAGTGGACAGGAGTGAGAACATTTTCATTGTGCTACACTTAAAAACAACCAATCTTTTACAAACAGAATTTTTAAAGGAATTTGTTCAAATTGTGAAGTAGCACTTCTGAAACTGAAATTGTTGCAAAGTGCATTAATGGTGACCAGGGATGGTCACAGGATCTACCAAAAGCTCTGCCCTATTTGTATGTTTCAAATATCATATGCAATGGGGACAAGCTTGTCAGGTTAAGTCAAACCCAACAAAGAAACACTGAGGTTCATCTAAGCAGTTTCCCTTATTGTTCCTCGCCCGTAGGCAGCAATCTTGCCAAACTACTTCTTACATCAGAAAACTCCAAACTTGACAATTTTAAGATTTGTGGACTTCAGTTCCCAGAATAAAGTATGGCTGGTTGAGGAATTCTGGAAGTTGAAATCCACAAGTCTTAAAAATGGCAGTTTGGAGACCCACGTCTTACGTCTTTGAACATATCCTCTGGGAATTCCTAGGGAAGAGTTGTTCTGACTCTCTTCCTCCCACTCAAACTATCTAAACCTCACTGGTTTTTGCTCCTCTGGAATGCAGCCCCTCCCTCCTGAGAATCCAGACTACAATCCACCATAGGTTCATTCTTGGTCCTCTCCCCTGACACCACTGCCTATTATGCTTACACTGTGAAGCTAAGTCATCTTTAGCTACAGTAACATCATAGAAAGTTTTCATGCAAAAACAGCTTGAATCATAATAGGTCCATAATAGGACTGGGCTTATTATGGTCACCCAACCTCAGGAACACTCAAACAGGAGAAAAGTAGATTAGAAACAAGGAGCACTGTCCATTGCTGGAGGCAAATTTGAGACAGATGTATCGCTGCCTAGGTAAGACCAAATCCTCTGGACAGAGAGAAGGGACACAATCACATTTCTGATTCAATTATCCCGATTTTACTGTAACATCCATAGAAACCTAGAACCTAGTAAGAAAATGGGAGATGAAATTAGGCTGGAGGGAACTCAACTACCCAAGGAAAGACTCCAAAAGTTGAGCTGAGTAGCTGGCAATAAGTATCAAATATTCTCAGTAAACATCACAAAAGACAGATAAACAGGGGGAGTTTCCGGTTTGTCGGCTTTGCGAGCGGTAGGGATTCGCGAAGCTGCGCGATCCCTGCCGCGCTAGCCGTTTTTGGGGCTCCGATCCGAAAGGGTGCGGAGCAAGGCTGCCCTGCAGGGGCAGCTGAAGGTAGGGGGGATCCGGAAAAGGGTTTGGGGGTGTTGCAGACCCCCTCCCTGGCTGGCAGAACCCCCTTTTACCAAGACGGTGTAGCGGCGGTCCGTAATGGCCACCACAAAGAAGCCGGCAGCTGGGCAAGTATGCGCAGGAGGAAGAGGAGAAAGTTTTTAAAAGTGAAAGTCTTCTTGGTCGATCCAGGACTCTGAGATATATTTAATTTAATTCCTGGAAGTGATGGCTTTTTGGATGATTCTTTCCATAAGAGAAAGTAAGCGGCAATTCTGAGGTGCTGAAAGGAAAGTTTACTCTCCCTCCCGACGGAATTAACAAACGGATATTGAGAAACCTGTTTTTTTTCAGGTAAAATTAGCTCTATGGGATAAGTCGGAAGGGAGAGGACAAAAAATATATTTATCTGGCTGGATTTTGTTGGAGGAGATGCCTTAAGGATTTGGAGACAGAAAATTTTTTTTTAATAAGGCTTCAAAACACAGATTTGGATTTTCTTTTTTCCTTTGTCTGATACTACCCCTGGAAGAGAAAGTGGGAATTTTGGCTTGGCTTGGATTGATTGAGGACTGTGGACTTTGGGATTGTCTTACTTTTCTTTTGGAATATTTTGGTTGGAGTAAGAAGAAAGAGGGAAAAAAGAAAAGAAAAGATTTATAATGGCTTTCTCCCTTGAGGAACTGAGGGATGAATATGAGCAAATAAAAGCAGCCTGTAAAGATGGTATGGAAAAAGCTTTTCTATTTTTAGAAATGGCGCTGGTTAACTATGAACAGACAATGCGACAGATGGAACTACAACAAGAAGAAGACGAAGACACCATCTTTAATGAATCCCAAAATTTACCTAAGGAAGAAGGAAGGAAGAAAGCGAGGAAAATGAAGGACTTAAGATCTAAAAAAACATTTAAGAAAGAGAAAAATATGATGCAAAATAAATATAATGATAGCAAACAAGAGAAGAAGGGAATACAACAGAGAAGGGATGCCAGCAAGACAGAGGTTAGAAGAAGGGGGGGTAGGAAGATCGGGTGGGGGAAGAAAGAAAGGGGAAAGGCGGAGAAAAGCCACAAAGTTTTAAAATTGGATGGGAAAAGAGGAATCTTTTTCAGGGATAAAGGGTAAAGTATAAATTTTCTTAAAAAAGATTTTGCAAGGTACATAAGACGGTATTGTAATATTTGTATTAGAAATAGAAAATTAGAATGGTTTAAGAGTTAATAAGAAGTTAAAATGTTGAAATGTTTAATAATGATTGATTTTTAAAATGTAATAAAATATTGAAGGGAAAGGCAATCAGAATGTTATAAGATTTATTATTTAGATTTATTATTTAACTACGTATTTAGGAGAATACTATGTATTTAAACATTTCCGATTTATTACTCTGTTTTTATTGTTATTAAAAGTAAAAATTAATAGATAGAATGTACCAAGCAGAATCAGATTGGATATTAGGTGTTATTTTAAATGTTAATCTAGTATTTAGGGAGAGGATAGAAAGGCATCATACTCTGATTAGAGATTTCAGGAGAAATTCTTTTTTTTTTTTTTTTTTCAGTATAAGGAATGAGATAGAGTGATAATAAAGGATGGGCAAAAGATACAAATATAATGATTTAAATTAAGATGGATTGAATAAGATAGAATTATGAAGAGTGAAATGTGTGGAGAAGTATATATAGAAGATACAGAATGGTAAATAAAATAGGTAATGATCTGTAAGATGAGCATGAATATAATTAAAGCCCATATAAAGAGAGGTACCGGGGGCCAAGTTACTTTACTAAAAGATTTTTTATATGTTTGTTTGTGTCTGTTTATGTTTTTGAGAAGTATTGGTGAAACCTTTTAGAAGCATAGAAAGAAAATGACGATAATCAAGTCAGAAAGAAATAGAGGACAAGAGATGTTTTTATGTTCATTTAGAAATGGTTTAAAATAGAATTGTATTGTATAAGATAAGGTTTTATCTGACTTGTAAAATTTATAATGGAAAAAGGTTCAAATATGTAATGGTTGATGATGATTTGTTTGTTTTTGAAATTAATAAAAGACAGATAAACAGAAGCAGAGGAGGACATACCATGAGTAAATATCCAATTTGCAGAGGATGCAATTTCAAATTAACAAAAGAAAGCTTAGCAGGCATTCAAAAAATAAAAAATAAAAACTATAAGCATTTTGTCAAGCACTGCCTCTAAGTTGACACTTGGAAATGTAATAGCTGTTTCAAACAGATATACAAATGATAACTTATTTTACACTAATGGAAGCAATCTCCAGGCATTTTGGCAGCTAAACTTCAAAACAGTAGTTCTAAAGATATAAATCTTCTATTGCCTTTTAGTAAGAAAATATTGTTCATATACCAGCTTTCCAGAAACAATTTACATTGTTCTTGTTAGATTTGTATCCTTTTATCCAGGAGACAATTCAGGGGAACTCTTTGTTTTCTT